ATACGCTATGGCGATGTTTGACTTATGCTGTCATATAGCGTAACACTCAGGATATTGCGAATACGTGCACCAAACGTGATGCAATTTGTCAGGAAATAGGACAAATGCCTCAGTCTAACATTGACTGCCGATGCGAAGATGTGTTTTTTGCAGCTATGCAATGCAGAAAACGCATACTGACGAGGGGCTGTCTGGTTCTGTATATTCGTCTGTACCGATTTTTCATCTCAAGAACTACAAAAGCTACGGGACTGAAATTTCGGGAACTTAATCTACATGAATGTACGGCCCCCCATCTTCAAAATGGGCACCTTACGCGCGTAGTACCCACGTACGAGTCCGCCAAAGTTTTTCACGGGTAAGCTGCTAACTCGGGAACTAGAAAAGCCGGGAGGCTGAAATCTTAAGGGGACGTTCCCCGTCTAAGTAGATATTAGTGAGCTCAAACCCGGCTCCCGGGCAAGCGTTGCACCCACGCACGGGCCCGCCGAAATTTTTTTCGGGTAAGTCGCTAACTCGGGAATCTTAAAAGTTAGACGGTTGTAGTTTTAAGACTTTGTCCCCCGTCCAAGTAAGTCCCAACAAGCTCAAACCAGGACATTGGGCACGCGTAATACCCGCGTGCGGGCCCGTGAAAGTTTCTTTCCAGTAAATTGCTAACTCAGGAGCCAGGAAAACTAGAAAGCTGAAATTTTAAAGGGGTGCTTCCTGCCAGTTCTGGCAGCCAGTCTTGATTTGTTTAGCTAGAAGCATTTGCCGAAAAAACCGATGCCGGTAGCGACAAAAATTGCGGGGAATCATGCAAAAAACGCATCTTCGCACGGGCAGCCCGTGCGTTGGTCAATTATTTGCACTGCTTTGCGCAGAATTGTTGTTGCTAGCATGAGCAGTTATAAGGAAGGTACTTGTTAAGAAAGATATTGTTAGTTGTAAGAAAGGTAACTGCTGCTAAAATAAAAATGAGCAAAAACACACACACACACACAGACGTACCTCCATTCGGCCAGAAAACATGGCACGCAGCATGGAGTCGTGCTTGGTGAGTGTGGATACAGTTGTCTGGTAGAGTGCACCGCCGACATTCAACTTAATGTACTGCGAGCGGCGCCCCGCGATCACATCGAGCTGCTCGTCGGCCATCTCTCAGACCCTGCAAAAATGCAATATTAGCAGTTGGAA